CAAACACTCGCAGGCCTGGGCCAACAGGCCCCATGGCACCTTCGGGAACATCTCTGTCCGTGAAAAGCTGCAGTCTGCTGTTACTGGTTCAGTAACGGGGCCAATATTTCTATATTCGGACACTGCGCAGTCTTTAGGTCTCCCAGGGGTTTGCGTTCTCCGGAGTCCAGACTCATAATCCACACCTCCCTCCCCCTGCAAAAAAGAGCGTGCGGGTCCAGGTAGTTGAGCGGCGGGGCTGTCCCTGGTCTCCTTCAGCGCCAGGAGGGAGTGTGCGCCCCCACCTGGCGACAGTCAGGATGGCCGCAAGAGGCCAGGGCTGAAAGAGAGCAGGGGCCTCTCCTGGTGGTCTTGTCCCTGGGTGCCCCTCAGAACCACCCGGGACATCCCCAAATTACAGAAACCTGGACCCTCACCACAGACCCTGAATCAGGAAGTACGAGGTGTGCCCCAGGCATTAAAAAACCCAAAAACAAGCTCTATAGGGCTTCCGATCAACACCCAAGTTGAGAACTGCAGGAAACTAGAATTCTTGGTTACTCTGTTAAGATCAGAAATGAGATGTCACAAATGGCTTCTAGCTAATAATAGTTAAGGTGCCAACACTTGTGAATCATTTGTCATTATATGTAAATTAGAGGCCTGTGGCAGTGGCTCATGCTGTAATCACAGCACTCTGGGAGGCTGAGGCAGGTGGATCACTTGAGCTTGGGAGCTTGAGACCAGTCTGGGCAACATGGTGAGACCCTGTCTCTACTAAAAATAAAAGCAAATTAGCCAGGCCTGGCAGTGAGCACCTGTAGTCCCAGCTACTGGAGAGGCTGAGGTGAGAGGACTGCTTGAGCCTAGAGGTCAAGGCTGCAGTGAGCTGCGATTGCTCCACAGCACTCCAGCCTAGGCAACATTGAGATCTTGTCTCAAAAAAAAAAAAAAAAAAATACACACACACACACACACACACACACGGATGTATCATTAGAGCAGATATGAGGCCATTCCTCTAACTCTCTTTCCCTTGCATTCTTGGAAAGTAAAGTCCAGTGTGGGGGCTGTGCCGGCGTCCTACAAGCCTGCAGCCCTCCCGAGCCTTGCTGGAGACTGTCACTGACCTCTGCCCCCAGTTAAGATGGTTTCAAATTGGTCTAGTCTAGTGCTTTATTGGCTTCCCAAAAGCTCTGGGCTAAGTTAAGTGGGGGACTCCCATGGAAGTATGCCTCAAAAGCAGATGCTGTCCACACTGTGTTTCTCAGCAGGAAGTCGCCCCACCCCCCATCCCCTCCAGCACAGATGTTCTCCACTGTGACAAGCACAGGAGCCCTGGGGGACTGTGCTGAAGAGCAGATTCTGACGAGCAGGGCCGGGTGGGGCCTGAGAGTCTGCATCTCTAACAAGCTCCCAGGAGACATCTTGCTGCTCTCCAAGGCCCACATGTGAGCGTTTACAGCACTTACTGACAGCACTGCTCGAGCTATGACCAGCTGTAAGGGCTTCCGAAGAGGAACTCCATAACTAAGCTGACCAACCCTCCTGGTTTGCCTGGGGCTCAGGGGTTTGCCCAGACTTGAAACCTGGGATGGTCCCAGGGAAACTAGAATTCTTGGTTACCCTGTGCAAAGACATGGGCCAATACAATTAGTTTAGGTAAAGCCTTGACATAAACATCTGAGAAAGGCTCAAGAATGTTTACAAAGGAACAAACAAGGTGTTACAATATAGTGCAGAAAAAATACTCTTAAAGTACAGAGGGGGACGGTGGCTCATGCCTGTAATCCCAGCATTTTGGGAGGCTGAGACAGGCAGATCACCTGAGGTCAGGAGTTCAGGACCAGCCTGGCCAACATGGTGAAACCCCATCTCTACTAAAAATACAAAAATTAGCTGGGCATAGTAGTGGGTGCCTGTAATCCCAGCTACTTGGGAGGTTGAGGCAGGAGAATTGCTTGGACCTGGGAGGTGGAGATTGCAGTGAGCCGAGATTGAGCCACTGTACTCCTGCCTAGGCTACAGGAGCAAAAACCCCATCTCAAGGAAAAAATAAAAAAGCACCATGGGAAGGCAGATTAAATTCAAAGTCATTGTGAAACTGAGCTTCTTGAGAACTGAGCTCTGAGTGGGATGGGAAAGAAAAGGGATTAGGGAATGATCTAAACTGGGATGAAGGAAAGGGCTCCCATTGCTACACATGCCAGCTTTGTTTAGCACTGATTTCCTGAAAAGCCAAGTTCATATGGGTTGTCAGAACCTACCAGACCATTAAAATCATATTCAAGTGTGTGCTGCTGTATTTGTATTAAATTCCTGTATCTATGTATTGGAGGCCACTTTCTCTCCCCAAATGCCATGGCAGTTAACGTGGCCCCAAACCTGAGTTGCCCTGGCCTCCATGCCCAGGTGGCTTCTAGAGATTGTCACATAATGTAGTGGTTTAATGGCCTTCTCTGGTGACCACAGCCCTGGTCTGGATGTGGTCCTGTCTCTGCCCTGCCGTGTGCCATGTGACCTAAGTAGGAAGAGAGTCAGCATCTACCTGTCCCCCTTCCTCTACAGGAATGCCTGAGGCATGAGGGCTCTGAAAGCCCTGGAGACACACAGAACCTTGCCAATATATGAGTCTGGAAAAACCTCTTGCCCACCCTGAGAAAGCATTTCACAACAAAGACTGCACACAGTACTTTTTGGAGGGTAGCCATACTCTGGCCTATGGGTTTGGTTCCTAGAACTCAAAGTATGTGGATTTCCTGAGTGTGTAAAAAAAAGAAGCCTCCCTATATTTCATCCCAAAAGGTATGGTTTATTACCACTGTAATAAACCTGAGTTTTAAGGTTTTGCTCTTGTTGCCCAGGCTGGAGTGCAATGGCGGGGTCTCAGCTCACTGCAACCTCCACCTTCCAGGTTCAAGTGATTCTCCTGCCTCAGCCTCCCAAGTAGCTGGGATGATGCATATGCCACCACTCCTGGCTATTGTATTTTTAGTACAGAGGGGGTTTCTCCATGTTGGCCAGTCCTGGTCTCAACTGACGTCAGGTGATCCACCTGCCTCAGCCTCCCAAAGTGCTGGCATTACAGGCATGAGCCACCACGTTCGGCCTAAGGGAGGCTTCTTAATTATAAAATATATAAGGCTGGGCATGGTGGCTCACGCCTGTAATCCCAGCACTCTGGGAGGCCAAGGCAGGAGGATTGCTTGAGCTCTGGAGTTTGAGACCAGCCTGGGCAACATAACAAGAGCCTGTTTCTACTAAAATAAAATAAAATAAAAACTTTGCTGGGCATGGGATTGTGTGCCTGTGATCACAGCTATGTGCATTCCAGCCTGTCTCAATTAAAAAAGAAAAAAATATATATTTATGCATATATTTGTGTGTGTATGTGTATATGTGTGTATGTATGTGTGTGTGTGGGGGGGGGGTGTGTGTGCAGCTTTATTTCTTTAGCTGTGGTTAAGATTTGAACTTTGGAATCAGGTAGATCTGACTGCAGGTCCAGCTCTGGCATTTTCTCCCCATCTAGAGCCTGGGTTTCCTCATCTGTAAACTAGAGATAGTAAAAATGCATCCTCTTTGGGTTCGCTGGGCCTTGGCGGGCACACAGTCAATGCTCCCTCAAGAGCAGCTCCTTATCTCACAGACTGCTGGAGGAGGGTCGCCTGGCAAGGCAGGCACTCTGCGGGGCCTCCTTTAAGGGCAGTTGTCATTAGCACACTGTCAGCAACAGGAAGCTCCAAAATGCTGCCAAACCACTTCAAAAGATGTGTTAGAAACCCCTATTTGGTAGAGAACAAAATTCTCAGTTTACAGAGCTTAAAGATGAATCAATGCTTTTGTTGTTAATAAATCCTTTATTTTTGAAGAGTTTTAGATGTATAGAAAAGCTGTAAAGATAGTACAGAGTGTTCCCATTTCTCACAGGGAGTCCTGCACCGGCTCCCTGCTGGGGTGGGCTTGCTGTGGTCCAGTGGTTCGGTTTTTGTCTGGCTTCCTTTTTTCTGTGGTGAGGGTCCAGCCCATGAGCTGAGTTATGGAGATGCTGCAGCTTTTCTGTTTGTGAAAGTGACCTCGATCGCCACCTGCACCTTTTCCTTTGTGTATACAGGCCCACCCACATCATGGGCCATCCATTGTGAGGAGCACACCCAGTGAGCTAGGCCAGGTGACCTCTGACTGCTACCCCTGCAGGCCCAAGGTCGATCAGAGCCCCTGCAGAGGAGGCACTGTTACCATCTCCTGGCTTCCGGATGGTCCAGAGGGGGCTCTCTCAGAGATAAGTGAGCCAGACCTCCAAGAATCTGTAGGATGGGTGGGCATATTTGGGTGTTCTCTTTTTCAGATGAGAAGTATTCATGGTGGCCTGAGGCTTGAGGCTTAACCACTATGAGCCTCAGTTTCCTTTTTCAGAAAACGGGAATAAACCAATGCTTCAGTCCTGGGAATGTGGTGAAGAGTGAAGGAGAAGTGTGAGCTGCACTGGGCCTGGCACAGATGAGTGTGGTGCTTTTATCATTCCCAGCTGTGTGGGCCATACCAGCCACGCCAGGTGTACATGTGGCCTCAGCTCACCAGATTCTCCCACCCTCTGCCGCTCCCCAGGGTGGAGGGGAGTGAAGGAGTGCCATATCCCAGCACAGGCTTGAATCATTGTATGCTTGACAGGCTCCAAGGCCTCCCTAAGTTAGGTCTTCTCTCTGTGTACCATGACATTCCTCCAGAAAGACAAAAGTGCAAAGAACATCTTCTAATTTAAAACATGTTTAATGACCAGGCTCAGTGGCTCACACTTGTAATCTCAGCACTTGGGGAGTCTGAGGGGGATGAATCACCTGCGGTCAGGAGTTCAAGATCAACCTCGTCAACATGTGAACCATGCCTCTACTAAAACTTTTTAAAAAATTAGCCGGGCATGGTGGCGGGCACCTGTAATCCCGGCTACTCGGGAGGCTGAGGCAGGAGAATCCTTGAACCCAGAAGGCGGGGGTTGCAGTGAGCCGAGATCGTGCCACTGAACTCCAGCCTTGGTGAAAGAGTGAGACTCTGTCTCAAAAAAAAAAAAAAAAAAAAAGTATGTTTTGCAGGCACTCAGGAAGACTGGTATTTAACGTAATCAGTAGCAAATACTTTTACAAAGTGATGAAGTCTTTGTGTCACAAATAACTCCCTTCCCCAAATTACTCTGTGTGGTTAGTTCTGATTTCACTGTACTTTGGGTTCAAGCTATGAATCTGGGAGAAAGACATACGTGTCATTTCTCATAATATTCATCAAATGAAGAACTTTGGAAGGATATGCCGGAATCTAAAATTCACTTGAGGCCATGTGGCAGATCTCCCACCAGGGGTTTCCAGATGTTTCCTGAAAAAGACGAGAAGAGAAACAGAGGTCTCTGCATCTTGTCTCAGATCTGAGTGAGGCCAGTTTTGGAACTTGTGGCCTGTTAGGAAAGAAATTAGGTCTGGAGGGCCATGGACCGAGGCCTGCCTCTCCTCAGCTGCCCCTCGACTGCCTCTCTGCCCTAAATGGGTAGCTGAAGGGGGAAGAGAAAGAAGAGATAGAAAAAGAAAGAGAGAGAGAGAGAGAGAGAGAGAGAGAGAAGGCAGGAGCAGCAGGAGGGTGTGGGTGCTTGGGAGCAGCTCACACCTGCTTCTTGATTAGGGAGTGTATTGAAAACCACCCTGTTCAGAAAGCTCATGCCTTGGCCTCACTCCCCTTGTCTTGGCTGACAGGGCAGCTACACACTCAAATGCCCCTAACTGCAGGTTTGAGGACCGTCCTAGGGCAGGATGACACATGGGGACAGGCAGAGCAAAAGTCAGGCAACAGAGCCAGGCCAGCTGTGGAAGTGACCCCTCAGAAATGCTGGCCAGGCGGCCCTGCTGCAGGTTGTGTAAAATGCTCATCATGGTGCCTCAATAGTCAGCAGAAAGCTTGGGGTGTTATGTTTCCTCTACGACTTCATCCCTCCCCCAAAATAATTATGCCAACAACCCTAATAGCTGTCGTGTCTGGGGCATCTAAGCGGGTCAGACACTACATACCTTATTTCACTTACCCTTCATTGAAACCCCGTGAGGCAGGGGTTTACTTCCCTCATTTTATAGGGAGGTACTGGATCTCAGGAGGGGTGTGGACAACTGCCAGGGTCTTGCCCTGATTGTAGGTGCAGGGCTGGGTGTTAGCCTCAGGTCCATGTGACTCAGGTCAGGAGCTCAGAGCCCCTGCGCTGCCACACAGCCCTCAGTGTGTTGCACTGTTGCCATGGGCAAGCTCTCCAGGGTCTAGCAAGGATGGTGAAGTCCGGTCAGAGGGCAGATGCCAGGCCTCACGGCCCAGCTGTTGCAATAGCAACATAATTTAGCAACAAATAGCAACAAATAGCAATTTCCATTTCCTGAACTGGAAATTGGGTTGCTGCTGTTGTTTTTTAAAAAATCCCCTGCGTCTTAAACTAAGCTAGGTAAGCCGCATAAACTAGCTTTCAATATGTTGGATCTCCGGTAGATCCCAGCTGGTCTTCAGTTTGTATCTGCCACTCACCACCCTGAGTCAAATACTTAAGGTCTTTGTGCCTCAAGTTTCTCATTGATAAATTCCCTGCAGGCTGTTGTAAAACAGAATGAGATGATGCTTACCCAGCACCTGGCCTGAGACTCAGTAACCAACCTTTCTAAGAACTGGAGGAACAGGCAATAGCTTTAGGCTTTCCTTTCTGTCCTGGGATGTTCTTCCTGGCAAAACAATAGCACTGAGGCTGCTCTCCTGGTGGGTTCCATCAAAGCATTAACACTGAACAGCAACGAAAAAGGGCGTGGAGCTCTTCCTTCTGGACCAAATGCACTCTCAAGTTTATTGCAAGAACCTGAGAGCTCATTATCTGCCTTGGCTGTGGAATAGGCCCATGCCAGTGCTTATGTCTTTCTCTTCTATCCGCTGAAAGTCAAAACAAAAGTTTCTCCTCTTGAGATAGGAGGTGGGCTTCGGCTCTGGAGGTGGGGCTTGGACACCAGACTAGATTGAGGACTAACTAAAATAGAGCTGGGGTGAAAGCAGCTTTGAATCAAACATGTACACCAGCGAGACACATCAATTTACTGTAGCCATGGCAACACCTGGGCATTACCACCCCTTTCCACGGTAATGACCCAACAACTCAGAAGTGCCTACCCCTCCTCTAGAAATTTCTGCATAAACTGTCCCTAAATCTGCGTGCAGTTAAAAGTGGGTAAAGTTGCCTTGCACGTGTAATCCCAGCACTTTGGGAGGCTGAGACAGGTGGATCACCTGAGGTCAGGAGTCCGAGACCAGCCTGCCCAACATGGTGAAACCCCATCTCCACTAAAAATACAAAAATTAGCTGAGCGTGGTGGTGCCTGTAATCCCAGCTGCTTGGGAGGCTGAGGCAGGAGAATCACTTGAACCCGAAAGGCAGAGGTTGCAGTGAGCCAAGACATTGCACTCCAGCCTGGGCAATACAGCAAGACTCCATCTCAAAAAAAAAAAAAAAAAAAAAAGTGGGTATAAATACAACTGCAAAACTGCCCTGAGCCGCCACTCCCTGCCTAGGATAGCCCTCTTCCGCAGGAGCAGTCATGGAGTTTAACACTGCCTCTTCAATAAAGCTTTCTTCTATCTCTGGCTTGCCCTTGAAGTTTTGCCCCGGCAAAGCCAGGAACTCAGCAGGCTAAGCTCCACTTTTGGGCTTGCCTGCCCTGTATCACTGACTTCCTTCTGAACCCTCCTCACACGAAGAAAGTGCCTTTTCCCCACTCCCTTAGCCCTTTCCAAGGTCTGGGCTGGGTTGCATTCAGCCATTGTGGTCATCACCTTGACAGTGGCACAGCTTGCTTGGGGAACTCACTGATGGCTGATAAGGGGAAGGCGTGGGTTGTGACATGTCCTATGAGGTGCTATCATGAACATGTAATATGAAATCAGCTGCAGGCTGATGCCATGTGTATAGTGCCCTCCCATGTGAGGGTGGGAGGCCTCCTGGGCAGGATCCTTATTCTCCTGGGGCACAGGAACAAGGCCAGGTCAGGCACAGGAACAGGCAGAAGGCCAGGTCCCACGGCTGCTCTGGAAGGCTGACCTCCATACACACTCCATTGACCCTCCCTCACCATCTGGTCCCACTGTAACTTCTGCCGGCGGGCTTCAGCCCCACCCCACTTGCAAATGCTCTTAGGGAGGTCACTATACTCTCCAAATGACCAAATCCAGTGTTTACAACTCTGCCCTTGCCTGATTTGCTCTTTCTGCAACATCTGGCGTCATGGACCCTTCTGCATTCTGGAAACCATTTCTTCTAGGGAACCTGTGTGACAGTTTTTTCCCATACTCTCTCCTACTCCTCTGGATGCTTTCCTTGGTCTCCTTCACCGAGTTTTCTTCCTCCTCTGGCACAGAATAACCTCCGGGGTTCCTTTCTGTCTCCCTTCCTGCTCTGCCACTCTTGGGACATATTCATTCCCAAACCTGGCTTCTGTTATCACCTCCCAGGTCTCTGTTTCTGGCCTAGACCACTCTGTTGAGACCTTGTATCCAAATGCCTATTAACCAGCTAGCTCCTTATAGGCCTTTGGGGCTCAACACGAACTCAGTATCAGCAATCCTCAAGCTGCTCCTCCCCCAGCATTTTCTCCTGTGGTGAACTATGCTACCATCCATCTGGTCACTCAAGCTAGGAATTTCCCTCCCTGTTTGCCTTATGTACAACTGATCACCATGTCTCATCTAATCCACCTCCCAGGCATTTCTGGACTCCTCCTCTTCATTCCCATAGCCATTGCCTCAGTTTAGTCAGTGTCATTTCCCCGGGTTGCTGCCATAGCCTCCCATGCTGTATTCCTATGCCCCATATTCATTCTTTATCAGAGAAGTCTTTCTTTTCTTTTGTCAACCCAGCTGGAGTGCAGTGGTGTGATCTCGGCTCACTGCAACCTTTGCCTCCCAGGTTCAAGCAATTTTCTGCCTCAGCCTCCTGAGTAGCTGGGATTACAGGCACCCACCACCACACCCAGCTAATTTTTGTATTTTTAGTAGAGACGGGGTTTCATCATCTTGGCCAGGCTGGTCTTGAACTCCTGACCTCGTGATGTACCTGCAACAGCCTCCCAAAGTGCTGGGATTACAGGCGTGAGCCACTGTGCTCTGCACCGGGCTACCAGGGAATTTTTCCTTTTTTTTTTTTTTTTGAGACGGAGTTTCACTCATGTTACCCAGGCTGGAGTGCAATGGCGCGATCTCGGCTCACCGCAACCTCCACCTCCTGGGTTCAGGCAATTCTCCTGCCTCAGCCTCCTGAGTAGCTGGGATTACAGGCACGCACCACCATGCCCAGCTAATTTTTTGTATTTTTAGTAGAGACGGGGTTTCACCATGTTGACCAGGATGGTCTCGATCTCTTGACCTCGTGATCCACCCGCCTCGGCCTCCCAAAGTGCTGGGATTACAGGCTTGAGCCACCGTGCCCGGCCCAGGGAAGTTTTTCTAGAGCACACATCTAGTAGTGCTTATCTACTCAAAGCTTCCACTGGGAGTCCATCACCTTCAGAAGACCACCTCAATTCTTGGGTCTTCCTGTTTGCTTGTCCGTTCACTTGTCTTACAGGTAATGAACCACAGGTACCCTCCATCAGCCCAACCTGCAGGCCACAGCAGGCCTCAATGATTTTCCCTACAGTTTCCCTTCTCCTAATTTCAACTGCTCCTTTAGATGGGAATCAAGTGTCACCTCCCCAGAAACATTTGCCCTGACCCCCATGCCCTGCCATCTTTATCAGAATTGGGACCCTCCCCTTTGCATTATAGGCAAAGCTCTTTCAGAGCAATTATTATACTACATACAGAGAGAGTTGATTTATACCAGCTCGTGATCCAGGGATCAAGGGCTGGTATTGCATCCTTCTATCTCCAGCACCTATCACTGTGCCTGTCACATAACAAATGTTGCAGGTAAAAGTAAAGAATGGCCAGGTGCAGTGGCTCCCACCTATAATCCTAGCACTTTGGGAGGCCAAGGCAGGAGGATCGTTGGAGCCCAGGAGTTTGAGACCAGCCTGGGCAATATAGCGAGATCTCACCTCTGTAAAACATTAAAAAAATCAGTGGAGAATGGCAGTACCTGTAGTCCCAGCTACTCTGGAGGTTGAGGTGGGAGGATCACTTGAGCCCAAAAGGCATAGTTGCAGTGAGCTGAGATTGCACCACTGCACTTCAGCCTGGGTGACAGAGCAAGACCTTACCTCAAAAAAAAAAAAAAAAAATTATGGAGAGAAGGGATGCTGAAAAGTTAATGCAGACAGAGCTACTTAACAGAAACTGTCATTCAGGGTCAGACCAATGACTAAACAGTCTAATGTTCCAGTCCTGACAACAGTTCCAATGAAGTTTTGGTGAGAGGGGATAGAATCACAACATTTACAGCAGGAAGTGTTTAACATCCTCATTTTATATAGCCTAGAGAGGTGAAATAGATTTCCTTGATCACATAACTCGTTAAGACAGAACGAGGCCAGGCACGGCAACTCACGCCTGTAATCCCAGCACTTTGGGAGTCCAAGGCAGGAGGATCACCTAAGGTCAGGAGTTCAAGACCAGTCTGGCCAACATGATGACACCTTGCCTCTACCAAAAATACGAAAATTAGCCAAGCACGGTGGCAGGTGCCTGTAATTCCAGCTACTCGGGAGGCTGAAGCAGGAAAATTGCTTGAACCCAGAAGATGGAAGCTGCAGTGAGCTGAGATGCCACCACTGCACTCCAGCCACCTGGGTGACAGAGCAAGACTCTGTCTCAAAAAAAAAAAAAAAAAAAAAAGACAGAACTAGAAGAGCCTGGGAACCTGGCTACCATCGGCATTGTGCTGCCCCGATGGAAAAGGTAGGCGTGTTCTCTAAAAGCTCCTAAGTCCCTTAGAAACACATTATGGTCCTATGCAAGGTGGTTCAGGCTGCTATAACAAAATGCTTTAGGTAGTTTATGAACAGCAGAAGCTTATTGCTTACTGTTCTGGAGGCTGGAAAGTCCAAGATCAAGGCGCCAGCAGATTCAGTGTCTGATGAGGGCCTGTTTCTCATACATGGCGTCATCTATGTGTCCTTTCATGGTAGTAGGGCAAACGCATGGCAAACAAGCTCCCTGGGGCCTTTTTTATTAATATAAGGGCACTAATCACTCCCCAACGGCTTCACCTCTTAATACCATGACCTTGGTGGTTAGGTTTCAACATACGAATTTAGGGAGGACACAAACATTCAGACTATAGCAGGCCTCACAGTCCATAATTAGTTTTAACATTTGTCTTATCACATTTAGGTGATGAATATCCTTAGAAATAGCAAATGTCCTGAATTAACAAATAACAGGAAAAAATCATAGAAAATTATGAATGGCTCTCTTTGTCTAAAAGTTTATCCTTGTATTGAACACCCTAATTTGTACCCTTGGGTGTAAATTTAAAAGTGTTCCCTTTTAAAATGTGGTGGAGCTCTTAACCAAACACTGTTTGGTTTCAAAGACAACTTTCTTCTCATCATATTCTTCCATAGCTGCCTGCCATTAAGCTGAGCTGTCTCTTAGTCTGCATCTTGTCCTATTTATCTCAAGTGGTACGTGGCTATTAAGGACAGTCTGCCTAACCCCACATTCGTTCTTCTAGAACATGGTTATTTGTTGAGCATGTAGTATGTCATGCATCTTTTTTAAAAACCTCAGTTCTTAGCTTCTGATTGTTATAAAGAAATAATCTCTCCTTTTTCCTTTCTAGAAATATTTATTATCACTCTAAAGAATTTACATAATCCCTGACTTCAACCTGCTCCAAGTAATTGTGGAGATAAGACTTATATACAAATGTCTTGTGTAATTTTAAATCCTCACACATGCAAATCTTGGGGTTTCCTGTAGGGACAGGCTTCTGCAGGTGGAGTAGTGCATCCTTGCTGGCACCAGCTCCTAGTTTATTATGCAGTGATGTACAGCCCTCTAGTGGGTTTTTAATGCAACATAAAAAAAAAAAAAAAAAGAAGTGGAGGGCAATGAAGTATGGCTTCATTCATTCATCCATTCATTTGATGTACAAATGCGAAGAGCCGGCTTTGTTCCAGGCACATTTTAGGTGCTGGGAATACAGCAGTAAATCAAACAAACAACAACAAAATCAGATGCATTAGTTACTGGAGACTAAGAAGATGGAGAAGAGAACAAATTTGGGATAAAGATCAGGAACTGGATTTTTGCCATGTTAAGTTTGGGATACTCAATCTTCCAAGTAGCTTCTTTTAAAAATTAATTACATGCTGAACGCAGTGGCTCACACCTGTAAATCCCAGCATTTTGGGAAGTGGAGGCGGGTAGATCACTTGAGGTCAGGAGTTCAAGATCAGCCTGGCCAACATGGTGAAACCATGTCTCTACTAAAAATACAAAAATTAGCCAGGTGTGGTGGCACACATCTGTAGTCCCAGCTACTCGGGAGGCTGAGGCAGGAGAATCTCTTGAACCTGGGAGGTGGAGGTTGCAGTGAACCAAGATTGAGCCACTGTACTCTAGTCTGGGTGACACAGCGAGACTCCATCTCAAAAAAACAAAAAAAAATTAAAATTAAAATTAAAATTAATCAGGCCAGGCATGGTGCTCATGCCTGAAATCTCAGCATTTTGGGAGGCTGAGGGGCTTGAGCCTGGGAGTTCAAGATCAGCCTGGGCAACTTAGTGAGACCTTGTCTCTACAAAATAAAAAAAAAAAATTGGCTGGGCATGGTGGTATGCACCAGTGGTCACAACTATTCGGGAGGCTGAGGTGGGAGGACTGCTTTGAACCCAGGAGGCTGAGACTGCAGTGAGCTGTGATCGGGCCACTGCACTCCAGCCTGGGCTACAGAGTGATACCCTGTCTCAAAAAATAACAATAATAGTAATCAGTGTGTCCATGGCCACATATAGAGTGCCTGTGGGAGAAAACACAAGTGCAAATACGCTCTTATTTGAGATTTCACCAAATTTAAATGAAAACTGGCAACGTGAGCACAGTTAGCAAGAAAAGTGTGCAGACAGTGAATTAGACCATGGGTGTGGGGAGACTGATGACAGAGAAGATCAAGGGTTGGTCCCACTCTTATGGAGCTGCTCATCTTTGCCCTCTGTTTAAATGTAATCATCTCAGTTCTTCGTTTGTTTTCTTCTTAACTCTTACCACCATTTGTCACAGTTGAGCTTCTCTATGTACTTAGGTTACGTCCATCTCTTCCACCTACAGGACTATATGTCTGTCCTATTCACTGTGGTGTTCTCAGCATCTGGAACCTGGCTGTTCCTCAATTTATACTTGTTGGAGGATGAATTTTCTATTTAATAAGGCAGATAACATGAGAAGCTAGTAATATAGTCTAGTATAATACTAAATGAGTAAAAACACAGTTGATTACTCTTAAGAGTAATTAGAAGATCATAGTGGGTTAAAGTCAATCAGGAAAAATTTCAGGGAAGAAACTGGGAATGAGCTGAGATTTGAAGAATGGATGGAATATGAAGGAAAAAGGAAAGAAGTTACGGGGGAAGGAATGTTCCCTGTAACCTGTCCCTGTTTGACTCCCACATGCTCCTCAGCCCCCAGTGTCTCTCTCTTTTTTTTTTTTTTTTAAGATGGAATCTCTTAATGCAGTGGTGCGATCTCAGCTCACTGAAACCTCTGCCTCCTGGGTTTTAAGCAATTCTCCTGCTTCACCCTCCTGAGTATCTTGGATTACAGGTGCCCGCCACAACCCCCAGCAAATTTTTGTATTTTTAGTAGAGATGGGGTTTCACCATATTGGTCAGGATGGTCTTGAACTCCTAACCTCAAGTGATCCGTCTGCCTCAGCCTCCAAAAGTGCTGGGATTACAGGCGTGAGCCACCGTGCCCAGCCCAGTGTCTCTATATATTCTGGTGTCTAGTGGTCTCTGCTGGACTGCCCATTCATGATGTGGGCTAACTCTGGCCAACGATTAGGATTTGTCATGTGATTCCTATGCTACTCTGTTTGTTTGTTTGTTTTTGTTTTGAGACAGAGTCTTGCTCTGTTGCACAGGCTGGAGTGCAGCGGTGCGATCTCAGCTGGATGCAACCTCAACCTCCCGAGTTTAAGTGATTCTCCTGCCTCAGCCTCCCGAGTACCTGAGACTACAGATGTACTAGCATGTCCAGCTAATTTTTGTACTTTTAGTAGAGATGGGGTTTCACCATATTGGCCACACTGGCCTTGAACTACTGACCTCAGGTGATCTGCCTGCCTTGGCCTCCCAAAGTACTGGGATTACAGGCATGAGACACCATGCCTGGCCTCCTATGTTACTCTTTATCATTGTCTTTGTGGCTCTGCTGCCTTTTTTAAAATGAAAACCCAGCATGTCAATGCCTATCATTATACCAGGCCCATAGCAAATGCTCAATAAATACTTGTTGAATGAGCATGTGTGCCTAGGAGCCACATTCCGTACTTCTGGGATGGCTCCCTCCCAGATATTTACTCTCTGCCTAGAGCTGGGGCATTTGAAAATTGAGTACTTGAGGCCCCAGTCAAAATCCTTGCATAATTATTAATAAGGGCTTTCTCAGATTTTTATTTAACAAAGCTTTATTGCATCCCTTCTCTCTTACAGGACTTATGCTAGCTATAAGCAGTTTGGAGTTCAGCTACTGTGAGACCCATGTAAACAAATAATAAGTCTGACTTATGTATAAAGTGGTCTATGAACGCCGCAGAGGATTGACTGTTCAAGTATCCCAGAGAGGCTTCTCAGATTAGAGGAGAGAAAGTTGGAATTGATTCTTGAAGGACATGTTGCGTCCTCTGGACAGACATGTCTGGAGTGGATAAGGGAGTGAGTTAGACAGTATTCTAGACAAATGCAATAACAGGTGCAAAGATGGTGGTGGTACTGGTGAGGAACTGAGAAAGTGAGCATTTAAAGCAAAAGCAGAAGTGGCCAGAGAGAAGGTGCAGGAATGGATTTGGGGCAGGATTACCAAAGGGCTCTGTCTTACACAGTTTTGTGTTGCTGTAACAGGATACCACAATTTATAAATAACAGTTTATTTGGCTTATGGTTCTGGAAGTTAGGAAGTCTAGGATCAAGAAGTAGCATCTGACAGCGGCCTTTTTTCTGGGTCATAACATAGCAGAAGGCATTACATGGTAGGAGAAACAGCAAGGGAAAGCCAAACTCATTTTTATGAGCAATACCAGCCTTTTCTCAACCCACTCCTGTTTACATTAATCCATTCATGAGGGCATAGCCCTCATAACCTAGTCAATTTAAAGCTCTCACCTCTTAACACTGTTGCATTAAGGATAAAGCTTTCAACATGTGAACTTTTGGGGGACACATTCAAACCACAGCAAACTCTATGTATACCAATCTGTAAGAGGCACAAAAATAAAAAATGATGCTAATTAACTCAGCCACTTGCAGTGCCTTACATAACTTTTGAAACCTAAATTGGTCCTATTCCCTTGAGGTAAGAAAGACAGTGCCCTTGAATGTTAATTTAAAAATTCTCCTGGCTGGCAATTCCAATTATCTTGTTATATTCAGTGCATGTAATAAGTCCCTTATTTTTAACATAAAGAGCTTTTTAATTCTTATTAATAGAAAATCAGGTTTCTTTCAATCCTATGCTGAACAGGTATTTAAAGAAAACTGGCAATTTACACATTGCCAAATTATTAGCTTTCTGGTAATGTACATATTCCCCCCATAAGCCCTAGATGGAGGCCTCTAGGTGCTCCCTCCCTGGTTAACATGGGGCTGTTCATTTGGCTAGGTAAGCTGAGAACGCTGGTTTGTTTGGGTGCCTAAAAGAGAGTCTGTGTTCAATGAAGTATTGTCAACAGGGTTAATTATGTGTTTGGCACACATAAACGGGACAAGACGTGTAAAGTGCTTGGTCGGAGACAGAATGCATTTCTTTTTTTTTTGGAGACTGGGTCCTTGCTTTGTGGCCCAGGCTGGAGTGCAGTGGCACAATCTCGGCTCACTGCAACCTCCGCCTCCCGGGTTCAAGCAATTCCTCATGCCTCAGCCTCCCAAGTAGCCGGGATTACAGGCATACACCACCATGTTGGTTTTTCTTTTTTTTGAGGGGGGGCATTTTTAGTAGAGACGGGGTTTCGCCATGTTGGCCAGGATGGTCTTGAACTCCTGCCCTCATGCAATCCGCCCGCCTCAGCCTCCCAAAGTGCTAGGATTACAGGCGTGAGCCACAGTGCCCGGCCTAATTTTCGTATTTTTAGTATAGCCGAGGTTTGCCATGTTGGCCAGGCTGGTCTGGAACTCCTGGGCACAAGCAATCCACCCGCCTAGGCTTCCCACCGTGCGTGAGCCACCGCGCCCGGCTGGGAGACTGTATTTCTAATTTGTATTCAGCTCTCAGCATGTCCTCAACGTGACCCCACCTCAGGTTCAGGGTGCTGGAACCTGAGCAAGAAGGGCGTTGTGCCGGGGAGAGTAGGTAGTGTGAGGAGTCAGAGTGCAAAGGTCAGAAGGCAGTTGGTTGAAGCGGTGTGCAAAGGAGTCTGAGGGGAGGTCGTTAGATCTTGCTTACCTTGGCGATCTCCACCAGAGGGCCAGAGGTGCCGAGAGGCTGCAGCTACCACTTCCTCTCTCCCGCCTTCCCTTTGGTTTAGCTCCTCCCCTTTCGCCCTAGAGGTTAAAGGCCGACGCCGACGCGGTTGCCTAGCGACACTTTTCCCAAGATGCCTAGGATAGTGTTGTGTTCTTCTTAGCCAATGAGAGAGGCGAAGCGGGCTTAATACCTGCCAATAGCCTGCGAGGCCATGGCCCGCGACGGTTAAACGAGGCCAAAGGTAGGAGCGGCGGGTTAGTGCTGCTCTGGGGCTTCTCCGTCCGGGTCGTTGCCTGGAGCTCCGCACTTGGGGACGCAACTGCGTGAGGCAGCGCGACTCTGGCGACTGGCCTGGCCATGCCGTCCCGTGTTGAGGACTATGAAGTGCTGTACACGATTGGCACAGGCTCCTATGGCCGCTGCCAGAAGATCCGGAGGAAGAGTGATGGCAAAGTGAGCGTGGGCCCTTCCCTGTGCCCGCCTGTGCTTAGGTTTCATCGCCCTGGGGCGACCACCCTGTGCCGCCGAAGGGAACCGAGAGGGCTGGGGAAGTGGGTTCCCGGAAGACTCAGCTGTCTTCCCTGGGTCTGCATCTGACAGCCTGTCCTGGGTCGCTTAAAGGATGGGAGACTGCGTCTTTTGATATACATATATATATTTCCATCTTTTCCCATTTGTCTCCCAATTTCTCTGTTTCTCCTGCTTTGGCTTGCTGAGGGCCTTCCATTGGTGACACGTAGCTAACTCCTGAGGTGTTTTTAGAGCTCTAAGAGTGGCCTCTGAGACACAAGAAAGGGGCAGGGCCACCAGAACCCGAAGCTTTGTATCTGCAGTCAGATTCACTCAAAATGCCCATTATTCGGATTATTGGATTCATATTTCCCAATGTATGTAGGTAGACCTTTTACGGAAAGTAACATTGGACAGAAAACTTCCTGGCTGCTGATGGAGGAATCTTTACCAAGGTGTCTCGTCCTGGGTGGAATGGGGCAGGGACTTTGACCACCTCTAACCCCATTTTGACTCAAGTACCTTTTTGCCAACTTCCCACTAACAAACTGAGGATAGGGGTTGGGGAAGGCCTCATGTGCCTCATTCTCCTCTTATTTCTCCACAGCATTATTTATTGCTTAAAAATTGGAGGAAGATTATGGAAGCACACGCAGATCTCCTTAAGTTTATTGAGCTTAATTAGATAATGACCTTAATTGTAGGATATAGTTAAAAGGGAGGTCATTTTATAAATCTTGGAACTTTCATTCTTTGTTTTCCAGCATAAGGAGTTCATTCATACCTTGGAAATTCTTTTTTCAGATATTAGTTTGGAAAGAACTTGACTATGGCTCCATGACAGAAGCTGAGAAACAGATGCTTGTTTCTGAAGTGAATTTGCTTCGTGAACTGAAACATCCAAACATCGTTCGTTACTATGATCGGATTATTGACCGGACCAACACAACACTGTACATTGTAATGGAATATTGTGAAGGAGGGGATCTGGCTAGTGTAATTACAAAGGGAACCAAGGAAAGGTAAATGCAATCTTTTAAAAATGTAAGCTGAAAATGGGTCTAGTTTCATTTCTTTTAAACATCTTCTTTTAGGATCAGTAATATGGAAGAGTGGACTTGTATTTGTTTGGTAGGTCCATAGTACTTTAGAAAATTCCCAGGGAATCAACACCCGTATTTTATATCAAAATAACAATTTATAGGCTGAATATGGTGGCTCACACCTGTAATCCCAACACTTTGGGAGGCCGATGCAGGAGGATTATTTGAACCCAGGATTTCAAGACCAGCCTGGGCAACATAGTGGGACCCTGTTTCTACAAAAATTAGCTGGATATGGTGACACATGCCTGTAGTCCCAGCTACTTGGGAGGCTGAGGCAAGAGGATTGCTTGAGCCTGGGAGGTCGAGGCTGCAGTGAGCCATGAACATGCCACTGTACTCCAGCCTGGGTGACAGAGAAAGACCTTGTCTCAAAAAAATGTCAATCAATAATTTATTTCTCTATATGTACACTAGATAATTTACATCATCCTATCTTTGCAGTGATTTTTTTAGAAGTTATGTGCTGTATGACTGCTTTGCTTTCAGGCAATACTTAGATGAAGAGTTTGTTCTACGAGTGATGACTCAGTTGACTCTGGCCCTGAAAGAATGCCACCGACGAAGTGATGGTGGTCATACTGTATTGCATCGGGATCTGAAACCAGCGAATGTTTTCCTGGATGGCAAGCAAAACGTCAAGCTTGGAGACTTTGGGCTAGCTAGAATATTAAATCATGACACGAGTTTTGCAAAAACATTTGTTGGCACACCTTATTATATGTCTCCTGTAAGTATATCAGAATTTAGATACTTTTCAAACATCTTTTATTTATTTATTTTTTATTTTTTGGAGATGGAGTTTCGCTCTGTTGCTCAGGCTGGAGTGCAGTGGTGCGATCTCAGCTCACTGCACCCTCCATCTCCCGGATTGAAATGATTTGACTCTCCTGCCTCAGCCTCCTGAGTAGAGTAGCTAGGACTGCAGGTGCATGCCACTATGCCCAGCTAATTTTTGTATTTTTAGTGGAGACGTGGTTTCACCATGTTGGCCAGGCTGGTCTCGAACTCCTGACCTCAAGTGATCCGCCCACCTCAGCCTCCCAAAGTGCTGGGATTACAGGCATGGGCCACCGCACCTGGCCAAAACATCTTTTAATGTTAAGCATTGTGAAGCAGGGAAATTGAGTTTTCTGTTTGTTTAGCAATATCTAGAAGCCAAGAATTAATAATACTGTTATATTTTTCCACATGGACTACCAGACCAATAAAGTCTCTATCAGTTTTTGTTTGCTGTATGAGTTATATGCATTAATGTAAATATGATGAAGACAAATTCCTAGTCTAAGGTTTACACTGTTTGTCATCTCTCACTACGTTCAATTTTTTGAGCATCCATGCAAATTAAAGCATATTCAGTTTAAGCTTTATGGAATGACTACCATGCATTAAACTCAAGGATTACAAAAATAAAATGGATTTTGTCCCTGCCCTCAAGAGCTGTTTCCCAGTGTGTAGGTCCTGGTGATCTGCATCAAACTGACTTGGAGTGTTTGTTTAAAATGCAGAGTTCTGGGTCCCAAACCCAAACCCAGATCCATCCAGTGAATTTTGATCTCTGGGTAGGTTCTTGAACTCTGATTTTTGTTTTTGTTTTAATATTATACTTTTGATTTTGGACTTTGCGTTTTAACAGACTCTGTAAATGATTCTTGTGCATGCAGATTCAGAGCTCAGAGAGCTTGCTCACTTCAGATAACATGTTTTTACAATGTTAACTTTCTGTACATGTTATTTTTTGTTGTCTTTTCCTGAAATATCTTGCTGAGTCCACTCACTCATTACCTATATTGCTGGATATTTTGTTTCCAAAATATTTCACCATTTGTATGAATTATTCTTTCTTCCTTTTTGGCTATTTCCTTGGAGTGTAGCTCATAAAATTAAATTGCTGGGGTAAAAGGTATAAACAGTTTATGGCTGTTGTTAGATATTGCCTGATGGCTTTTAAATGTTTAAGTCAATTGGGATAGCACTAACATGTTACTATATGACATCTGAACAGATAAAGATGAAGAAACATTAGCATTTTAGTAGTTCACCTTTCTAAGATTTTCCAAATCTTTAGAAATTATGTTAACAGATCTGACCATAGTATAAAACTTTGTAAATTAATGATTTTGGTTTTGACTAAGATTAGAATGGCCAGAACAGTACCATTTTCTCACTGTATCATATTACAGATAGAACACTTTTAACATAAAAGACAATTATCCATAAGTGGTTCTTGGAAAATTTGAAACCTATTCTTTTGTTGCTTTTCCCTCCTGCCCTTGTAATTAGAGTGGTTCAGCTTCCCTAAGGCCCTGATTGTCAAAAGGTGGCATCAGATTCACCAGTTGGACTAGAAAACACTAATCAACCTCCTAGAGATTTGGGTGGTGCTTGCTTCTGTTCCCTCTATTGAGAATAAGAGCTCTGGTAGACTGTTGTTACTGTAGATGTGGAAGAAGGGCAAACAATAAAATAGGTAATGATAATATTAGTTCTATGATTTGTGCAGTGGGCTAAGAAAAATATAAATGGATAATTCAATTAGCTATATGTATATCCATTGAAATGTGTACTAGATATGTATTTTGATTATTCTTAAATTTTCTCTAGTTCTTTTAAAATGGTGTTTCTTGATTTGCCTTGAGAGTGGAAGTCTCTCATATTCACCTCTGAACTGTCAGTGCTTAGTCTATACTAAGCACTTTTATTTGTGAATGAAAAATGAGTGAATGAATTATATATGACAGAGTGTATTGGGACAAGATCAATGCCTTTTTTCCATTATGAATTTGAAGATAAAGTATAGGCTAAAAACTTTGAGGTTCTGTTTTTATCTCAGGAGTAATTTAATATGTTTCATAAGTTTCAAAACAAGATAAACTCTTAACACCTTCCACTTTCTTGCCCTTTTTTCCTGTATAGGAACAAATGAATCGCATGTCCTACAATGAGAAATCAGATATCTGGTCTTTGGGCTGTTTGCTGTATGAGTTATGTGCATTAATGTAAGTATGATGAAGACAAATTCCTAGTCTAAGGTTTGTACCATTTGTCACCTTTCACTGGGCTCTTTTTTTTTTAACATGCATGCTAAGGAAAGCATATTCAAGTCTGAAAGAATTGTACATTGGGTAAAATTAAGGTAGACGGACAGGTTAAAAGAAACTATTCATAAATTAAAACTATTACCCATGAGACTGGGTCCTGACTGTTGAAGTGTCTTGGCTGGTTAGGTGCTTCGCTGTTAGACTGACACTTAGCTCAAGGGAGAGCACATAGGTCAGGCAGGTAAGGTAAAGCCACTGTAAGGATATGGAAGAAATGATATAAGCCTGGGGTAGAGGTCTGGGGATCTGTAGAGCAGGGAAGAGCTCCAGTTATTTCCCTTTATTCTTCTTTTCCATTTTTTCCCTTTGAAACTATTCTGTAGAGCAGTGGT